GATGTAAAACTTCAAACGTTTAGGAGAAAGAAGACAGGAAAACGCCTTGTGACCTAGGGCAAGGTGAAGCATTTTTTAGACTTGACACTAGAAGCATGATCCACAGGAGGAAAGTGATAGTTAGACCTCATCAAAACCAAAGCCTTGCTCTGTAAGACGCCTGTGAAAAGCATGAAAGAAAAGCTACAGAAATGACTTCAGTAAAGCTTCCCAGGACAAAATCAATATACAAAAACCCTGTGTGTCTATACACTAACAATCAACTATCAGAAAGAGAAATTAAGAAAACAATCCCATTTACAATTGTATAAAAAGAATAAAATACCTAGGAATATATTTAAGCAAGGAAGTGAAACATCTGTGTGCTGAAAGCTTACAAGCCACTGCTAAAAGACACCGAGGAAGACACAAATACATGGGAACTTTACTGTGCTCAGGGTTAGAAGAATTCATACTGTTAACATGTAACACAACCTAAAGCAATCTAAGATTCAATGCAACCCCTATCAAAATTCCAGTGGTATTTTTCACAAAAATAGAAAAAATTTTTTCTAATGTTTGTATCACACCACAAAATACTCCAAATAGCCAAAGCGATCTTAAGAAAGATAAGCAAAAATGGAGGCATCACACTTCCTGATTTCAAACTGTATCACAGCCCTGGCCAGTGTTCCCAGTGGTTAGAGCATCAGCCAGTGCATGGAAGGGTTGCGGGTTCAATTCCCAGTCAAGGGCACATACCTGAGTTGCAGGTTTGATCCCTGGCCCTGGAAGGGGTATATGCGGGAGGCAGTCAATCAATGTGTCTCTCTCATATCAGTGTTTCTCTAACTCTCCCCCGCTTCCTTCCCTTCCACTCTCTCTAAAAATCAATGGTAAAACTATCCTCAGGTGAGGATTAACAAAAACAAAACAAAACAACTGTATTACAAAGCTATCATAATCAAAACAGTACAGTACTGGCACAAAAGCAGATACATAGATAAATGGAATAGAACAGAGAGCCCAGAAATAAACTCATGCATATACACTCTATTACTTTACAACAGAGAAACCAAGAATATACTGTACAGTAGGGCAAGGACAGTCTCTTTAATAAATGGTGTTGGGAAAACTGGATAGACACATGCAAAAGAATGAAACTAGAGCCATATCTTACACAATATGCAAACATCCATCAACTCAAAATAGATTAAAGATTTGAACATAAGACCTGAAACCATAAACTCCAATGAGAAAACATGGAGTTAAGCTCCTTTACATCAGTTTTGGCAATAATTTCTTTTATTTGACACCAAAAGCAAAGGTAAAAACAAAAAAAACAAAAAACAGTAAACAACAAATGGGACTACATCAGATTAAAAAGCTTCTGCACAGCAAAGGAAACCATCAACAAAATGAAATGGCA